GACGACCCAGCAATAATCCGGTCGATCGAGTCAAGACTATTAAAACGTATCGTTGAAAAATACGCGGCGAACCGTACAAGCGGACTCGACAAATCCCGGAAATAACAATTGCCCCGCGGTTAACGCTTCATGCAAATTTCTATTTTCGCAGGTCGGCCGACCAAAACAAAAGGGAGTCGCGAAATTTATTTGGCCGACCAACGCGTTTTCGCCCGTTAAAAATACAAGACCCGTCGTCCGCTGATCTCGTAAATTCGCAGACGGCCCAGCACCGAAAACTCTCGAAGGTTATCCCCCCCCCCCCCCAAAAAATTCTTTTCCCCAAGACCCGCGCGAGCGTCGCGGTGTCTCCGCATTAATTCCGTGGAAAATCAATACAAAATTTCGCCGGCGAAAACATTTGCATTGCGTCCCCAGGCACCTCGTGCCAATGGTCTCGTTCGTTACATCGGGGGCTCGCGGGCGCGCGCGCGCGCACGAGCGAACGCACACACACGTTTACGCCGGGCATACAGTCGGGGCCAGGGTACAGTCAACACGATCTCGACTGACTGGAACGGCTCGTAGAGAGAGAGCAAGTGTTAATTACATGTTTGCGGTGTCCGCGAGGATTACACGCTACAACCGAAACTATGAACTTGCGAGCGGCGCTCGCACGCACGCCCCCTCGTCCCCGGCCTCGCCCTCGCCGTCAAACGTGGGCGTGCAAATGCACGTGAGCACGGCCGATCGGTGTGCACGTGTGCACGGCGGAGAGGACGCGGGGGGAGGGGGGGGCACTGTTAACTACGTTCGCAGCCCTGCCTACGCAAGCCTCGTCCTTCGACCGACCTGTAGATCGTGTCGGATACGCTCCCTACAACCGAGACCACGTTAACCGGGTCTGTATCTCTGTTGAACTCTCACGGAAATCGATCGACGTCAAAAGGACAGCACCGTGAAAGTTACGGCCTGATCAATTCGTCGGAAGATGTACCGGTGTCGCGCATCGCGTCGGCCGAACCGTCAAAAACTCTCGGAGCAGATCCGTTTAACCCTTCGAGGGCGCGATGCTCGTCGATTGAACCATCGTGTACTCCGTTGGCCTATTGTTGGAGGTTCAGCTAAACTTAGCGCGGTCAAAGTGACCGCTTTCTTATTTTGCAATTCTCCAATGTTCCGAGACTCTTTCGTGGAAAACGATTGAATAAGTTATATTATTGGAGCAAGTTTTATAGTAACAACTTTACAAATTCCAAATAAATTCGGTCTTCTCGCTTTTGTGAAGCAGTACATGCCAGTTAGTATTACTGCTTGGTAGGTTTAGTGTTAATAACTTGATACATTTCACTAGCTACGAGTTCGCTTCTTGACGCCACGGCGTCGCTCGCTTCTCTTCTACCGGAAGAGAGCGAGGAAAAGCGAGCTCGCAGTAATACATTCGCAGGAAATCGCTAGAGAAATCGCTAGAGGGTATGACTAGCGTGACGACAGTGACATACGTACGTACAAGGAGAAGTCACGGACTTTGGATCATCGATTTCAATGAAATTTTTGTTCGATGAATACAGATTGGAAATCATTCGAGTCGTGTCCGAGCGTTTTTGCGAATGTGCATTATTTGTAAAGGTATCTGATGTTTAACTTTCATTGAAGCGAACGTTGTGCATAGATATTGAAAAAAAGAAACAACTTATACGATATCGGAATGCGTGTGTGGATAACGGCATTGGTGAGATTAATGCATGTCAAATTGACACACAAATAGCCTTTTAATATTTAAATAGCCTAATAAATATCGTCGTATCTTTACGTTATTGTATGATGTTTCATTGATAATAACAGATCTAGAATGAGGAGCAAAATCGAGTGGACACCTTTTAAAACGGTATAACTTTTTCAAAACTGGTCTAAATGACTATTGTACAACTTTGGAGATGTTAGGACTAATTTACTGTACAATGACTGAAATACTTTTGTTTTTGTTAGATTTTACTATTACTTAGGATAAAAAGATTATAATAAAGCTCTCGTTTGCTCACTTTTTTATCTGAGCCTATTTTTTATTTTCGGTTGAAATTCGTGAAAAACTGTGATTTTCGCGATCTTTAAATGTCGATTATAGGCTCGGATAACAAAGTCTAAAAACGAGAGTTTTTTCACATCTCTTTTATTCCAAGTAACAGAAAAATTAAAAAAATATATTTTTGACGTTCTACAGTGAACAACTAGTCCATCTAACACTTGCAGAAAAATTCAAGTCATTTAGACCAGTTTTAAGAATGTTGACTCAACAACGCCTTAAAAAGGCGTTGACTCAGTTTCACACCTCATTGCATCGTGCTTCGCATTAAAAAAAGAGAAAGATAAAAAAATTCATAAGTCTGAGATTAATTTCCCTGAAAGTAGCGGAATAATTGTTGAAAATAGCGATGTCGCGTTGACACCGGGAAGGGAAGAGGTGTAACAAATGTTCGGCCCCGTAAGCGTTAATTTTGCGTCGGTCTGGGGAACGCGGGTTCGTGGAATTCGAAGTGAACGCGTTCGTAACTTGATCCGTACAATGCAGCTTGCAGCAGATTGATCGAGCGGGCAGCAGCGCGAATCGTCAACCTCTCGAAAGACTAGAATTTCGCCAAGCGGAATGATTCGCTCGGAATCCTCGAGCCGCGCCGGAGGCTGCTTGGATCCACCTGCCAGCAGCAATCTTGTTATCGCGTTATGTTACGCGTTACATTGTGTGTTCATCCACGCGTGCACGATTGCCGATGGCGTTTAAATGTCTTTTACTGTTTACCGGCTGCTCGCGCGGCTTGCAAACGCCTCCACGCCGTCGACGACCATTGCTCTTCTCCTCCTCCTCCTCTCACCATCCCTCTTCCTCTCATCATCATCCTCCTCCTCATTCCCTTTTCATCGCCGAGCCGCGAATCGACTAACGCATTACTTCCTGCATCCATTCCTCTCCATCACGGCGAACAGCTGCGCGAAATTAATTACAATACTTAGAGCGCGGCGAGATTTGACGCGCACTCGCGCTCTAGCGCGGTCTCTTTTCTTGTTCCCGACGAGCGAGGATTTGTCGGAGGCGTGCTCGAAACGTTTCTCGAAACTCTTCAACATTGTTTTATTTAGTTTGAGTAACTGTCTGATCGTGTTCAACCCACACCCGCCGCGGGAACTACATACCGCGAATCTGATCGCACGGTTGCGATCGAACATTTTAATTATCGGCTGTACGACGAATAGATATTGATAAGGAACTGACACGAATACAGAAATATGCGTGAGTCACGGTCGAAATCGTAGACCACGTGTCGGAAAATGTTTCGTCTCGTGGAAACGTTTACGGATGATTTGGAAAAATTAATTTGAGGGAAATGTTGAAATGTAATATAATATAGTATGTATAATACAATATAATATATATGTATAATATACTATGATATATATAATGTAGTATAATATATATAATATAATATGTAATATATATAATATATATAATATAATATAAATGATTTAAATATATATTGTAAGTGTATCTACATTTATTATGTATTTATGCAAGAACATGTGCGCTAAACGTGTTCTATTACGTTTCAATCAGATAACTGGGAGGGTTCGTTCCTTCGAATCGCCCTCGATATTTCTGATAAAAAGTTCAGAATCAAATGCAATAAAAATATCTTGACGCCGCGGCATCGATCGGCGAGCGTTCATTGCGAAGATATTAAATAACATTGCTCGGCCGTTATTATATATCTATTTAGAAATTTAATCGCACGATTGCCGACGCTTCCGTGTCTATTTTTATTCATAAACATTGCCGCTTCGTGCCAATCGCGTTTTCGCGCGATTAAAACCGACCGACGCGTACTTGGAAAATATTTATCCGCGCGCGTAGAAAGAAATATCGTTCGAAAAAGAAATTATTTTCAGAGCGAACCGAAGTCTACGGGATTTCGTGGAAACGTTTGGATAAATACGGCCGGCGCTCTGTACCGGGCGAAGTGTGATTTCAGCGAAAATGATGTTTAGAGAAGAGGCTATAATGCACGCCTCTGCCGTTGTTTATTGATAACGTCCTATCGTCGAGCGTCGGGTAAAAAGATAATGATGTATTATCTTCTGTCGACAGTTTCCGTGTAGCACATGCCCCGATAAATAGAACAGAGTTTAGATCGAAAAGTTTGTCGGCGGTTCACAGGCTGCTGCGTCATAACGTGATATCATGGCACGGCGTAGTTAGACAGTCGAGCTGCTACACCCACTGTTTTCCGGTTGTAAGCCGTAATTTGGTACGGCGGAGGCCGATGTATGCCATTAAGCGAATCTGTGCAAAATAAGCGGCACGATGTTTCTCCTCGAACGTAGAAAAATGTTGGTCGCCGAACGGGGCTACCTCGCCTGTTAAATGTTTATCGCGGAACCATGTAAATTTTCATTTCGCTCTCGGGTAACGCGCGTATTATGGTTGCTCAAATATTATTACACCGCGGAGGAGTCGTTCTTACCGTGCCCCCCCTTCATTATCCGAACTCCGTGTTATTTAACGTTCTAGTATTTCCTTATCGTACGTTTATACGCGATTTAGTTGAACGAAGCGCAATATCTGGTGATACGGCGTTTTAATGTTCCCAACGTGGAGGCACGCGGCGCTAATTATAGCGAGGCCGAATAAGGATTAATGAAGAAACTTGAGAGCAGAGTGCGCGCGTGTTCCCGTTAAAGAAGGAATTCGAAGTGGAAAAAACGTAATTCGAATATTTAAACGTGGTTCTTGCGATGCAAAGAGAAAAGGATGTTAGAAACTTAAATTACACCTGGCGTATTACGAAGATCCAATGTTGGAGAAAAACTTTTTCAGAGGGAATTTCAATGAATTTGGAATTAGAAAGGACTTTATATGTGTGTGTGTTTTTGTAAATGTATCATAACCGTTAATGGTTTTAAAAATATATGATCGTCGCTGGAAGAAAAATGTCTGCTTTATTAACACGAATTTTGATCGTCTGTTGCAGGGTCCACCGCAACCGGGCCAGCAAATTAAATTCACTGTCGGAGAGTCCTGCGACAGGATCAAGGAGGAATTCAATTTTCTACAGAACCAATGTCACGCGTAAGTACAAGACAATTTCTTATGAATCGCCAACCGTGAAACGATTTCCAAATTTTTACGAAAAAGGAAACGAAAATTGATCTATGCTGCCGTGTTTAATTAAAATGTCTTGTCCACAAATTTGCCATTTTCCAGGATATTTAAAAATATTATATTTAAACTGCCGATAGAGATAAAGTGTTAAGAATGAAATTTTTACATTTACTTCGTGTTTGATGCAATCGAGGTACAAAAATCGCAATCGATAACGGAGAAGTATCGTTCCATTTTAATTTAAAAAATAAAAATCCTCGTTTAACAGGCGAATGCTTAATACAGTAACGTCTCCCCAACTGACGCTTTTGTGCTTGTGCACAAAAATGGACGATTTGCGAAGAGGAGACACGATTATTCGAGCCTCGCGGCTCGTTTTTATAATCGTTGACAATTCGTAACTATAGAAACAAACCGCAAGGCTCGAATAATCGTACCTCCTCACTTCCTAAATTGTCCATTTTTCTGGACAATCTGAACGTCAATTAGAGAGACATTACTGTAAATCCTGTTCGAAATCTTCGAAACGAGTCCGACACGATATTGTACAAGGGGTTGAGACGAACACCCTGCGCACTCCAAACGGTTCCAGCATGAAATTCGAACGAAATCGATTTAAAAATCGCGCGCACCTGCGACGCGGTCCCCCGCCAAAAGGCTGAGAAACGACGCATAAAAAGCCACGTTGCCCTTAGAGGTTTCAAGTTGAACGGAGTCGTTCCCTTTAGTAGTCTCGAACGTCCCCTTCTGGAATTAATATTTAAAGAGGCGGAGTGCCGCGTGCAGCTAATCCCAACGAAGCTATCCGTGGTGTAGGTTTACAGGATCGATTATACGCAAGGTGTTCCCAACAAAGAGAGCAAAACATACGCCTATGCGTATTAAAATTCAAGCGTCCCTGATCAAACGGTCTAAATGAGGGCTACGATCTCAAATATTGGCTAGCCAATAAGAGGCAAGGAAAGAATTCGATGACCGCGGGGAATAAAATAAGGAACGTGCGATAACATTGAAAAAGGAGACACGAGCCGAATGAGTTTTAAAACGATAGGCGCGATCGAGCGATTTGATTAACGCTTTTTTGTCGTCGTTACGTTGCTAAAAAAAATTTATATTTATCGCGCTCCTACGTTAATGGTAATTTCTAGATTCTGACAAAAGAATTTTCACCCGAAAGGAGGGAATAATGTTCGCATCTTGTAGATTATGTTGGAAATCTCCGTAACGAGTCTGACACGTTATAGTGCAAGGAGTTAGGAAAGCTGCGTATGCGCGTCGTCGCGATTATTGCGAATAAATCATAAATACTGTAAGTAGCATTTCGGTAAAAGAGAATATACGTTTCGGGTATTTTCTAAAGTATCTTAATTCGAAGATTATACGCTCTCGATTGTTTTCGAAGTGGCTCGTACTTTCTCCGTTAATTGGGTGTGGCGAAATGTTTCGTCATTTTAAAATGACCATACGATAACAATTCGAATTTGCACAGTCTAGTTTCAAATAACGCTATGACGTTTTTTTATGTAGTATAGAAAGAGTGTCAGGACACACCGAAGAAAACTGTGTTAGAACTTCGCATATTTAACAATGATTCGGCTAAAGGACATTGAATATTTGAAATATTTGATTTATACATTTTCCAGATACGTCTTATAATATCTCGTCGAAATAAATAATTCATTGCTTGAAGCGCGACGATCCAACTTCTCACTTCGAAGAAAACAAATTGTGAATCGAGTCGAACGCAAAGTTAATTCTCCGGTTGACGGGTCGAAGACGCTTAAAGAACAAAGATATCTTCCCTTCATTTCGAATGCATATTTTTCAGTAGCGATCGCAGTCGAGAACGTATTTTCGAGAATATCATCGACAATTTCGACGACAAATCCCGCGATCGAAGCGCTCGCCTATATTTAGACCGCCTCTAAAGAGCGTTGAAAAGCGACGGACGCGAAAAATTGGCACTTGCATCGCCGCAAGGCAAAAGGCACCACGGTGAAACACGATTGAGCGCGTCACCTGCACGATCGTCGCGGCTTACCGCGTCTTTTGTCTCGGACTCGCATACGTAACCGTGATACACGCCGCGGATCGGAATAGCCTGGGAACCGGTGCAGCTGGTTCCTTGGCTGCACGCGATCCACAAAAGCCATAAGTGATTTACGACAGCGCGGCTATCGGCGGACGCGTAATGACACCCGTGCGCCCGTAACCAACGCGAATACGGAATTAAGAAAGCCCCCGGTGGCTGCATTTTTCAACGTCCCGCGGATCGAAACTTTCATTGCTTCTACGTGGAACTTGTACGTTAGACCCTACCGGAAGTTTCAAGCTCTTTCCTTTTACGCCTGCCACCGTCGCGTCGCCCTCCCCCCTGCCCCTGTCTTCCGTTTTTCCTCCGCCGTTCCCCCTTTGAAGTTCCCAGACGTGGGGGCCTATAGTTCTCTAGTCGATGATTTAAAAGTTCAGACGATGGAAACGCTCGCGACCGTTCGGAGTGCCGAGGAAAGCGAGATCCGGCCCCGATTCCTCGATATTAGCTCGAAAACGATTTAGGGGGGTGAGTGCGCCGAACGTTAAAAACTCTCGGTTGAAAATAATACTTGTTTCATATCGGTTACTATTTCCACTTCTTGGTACGGTTTAATCCTAACACTTTCATTGTTCTCGAATCGTTTCGAATAAATATTTAGCTGAGATAATTATCTAAATGTATTAATTTTCGTCGAATGTTTCAATTATTCATTATTCGTTATAAATTATTCTATCTATTTACTCGAATAAAGAATTATTGTTCGAATGAAAAATTACTATCGAATTATTATTCAAATGAAGAATTACTGTTCAAATAAAGAATTATTGTTTGAATAAATTTGTCGAATATAATGTTCGAGTGGAGATTATAGAATCATATACGAATAGTAATGCGAATTTTAAGTACAAATTTTAAGTTTCACGATATGAAACTTTTGTTTTCACGAAGTCATAAATAAAATTACGCGTGTAGACTGGAAAATATGTATAAATCGGTAGTGACCGAAGTTGAAAATAAATTGTAGGAGTTAGACAACTATTGCGGGGAATATAATCGAACCTATTGTTATGAATGTAAATGACTGCGACAGGTTGAAGTCTGATAGCGAATATTTATTACGCAACAGCGAATATCCTTGTTTATACACATGACTAGAGGCACAATTTAATCATCCCTAATTGTTATGGAAAATTCTTTGGCGATCTCTAGCGTCATCGTTGAATACATTACTAACACATCCGATGCTCTGTAACGCTATTCAAATTGCTTATAATGTTCGTATAACGACGGACGATGCATTTCTTTTATATTTGACGAACATATTTGATACTACGTTTCGTTTGTAATTAACGCTCTTAATAATTCTTCCGACAACCATATTCGTGTTATTATTCCTTTCTGTTTCTGTTTTAAAATGCACTTTTTGAACCGCAAGCGAAGCAATTGTTTCAGAATACAGTAAATTCTCTCTAATCGGCGTTCGGATTACAGTAACGTCTCTCTAATCGACGCTCAGATTGTCCACAAAAATGGACAATTTGGGAAGAGAGCAGATACGATTATTCGATCCTTGCGGTTTATTTTTATATTTATAATTTGTCCACAATTGTAAAAACGAGCCGCAAGGCTCGAATAACAGTGTCTCCTCTTCTCGAATTATCCAATTTAGTGGACAATCTGGGCGTCAATTAGAGAGACATTACTGTATTTATTACTTTATTTATAGATATAGATTTGTAGTTATAAATTGTCAACAACTATAAAAACGAGGCGCAAGGCACGAATAATCGTTTCTCCTGTTCCCAAATCGTCCATTTTTGTGCCAATCTGAGCGTCAATTAGGGACATATTACTGTATACAAAAAGATGGACAATTCGGGAAGAATTGCACAATCCGAGCGTCAATTAGGGAGAATTTACGAGTACATAATAATATCCTTGCGGTTCATTTTTATAGTCACGAATTGTCAACAACTATAGAAACGAGCCGAAAGGCTCGAATAATCGTATCTCCTGTTCCCAAATTGTCCATTTTTGTGTACAATCTGAGCGTCAATTAAGGAGACATTACTGTATACACAAAAATGAACAATTCGGAAAGAATTGCACGATCCGAGTATCGATTAAGCAGAATTTACCGCATCTACTTAATAAAATGATATCGACCTTGCTTCGAATAACGTGACGGGTTTCGTTTCAAATCTCCGTCGTAATCTCCCGCATAACAGAGTGGTTCGACGAATTGGAAAACCGAACAAATCGAACGAAGGTGTGAAAAGCTCTTCGAATCGTCTCGAAGACGGGCACGCGCGATCGGTTCGATCCCATCGCTACTCCGGAAGCCATCCATCCGTGGCTGGATAAAGTACACACAATTTAAACGATTGCGAAGCGGTTAGAATACGTGCATAAATGGTCGCGCCGGGTACTCGCAATTATGTGCGCGCAGGCGTCGATAATTAATATTAACATTACACTAACGCGGCGGAGAGACGGTAAAGGTCGCCGTAAACGTACCACGAATTTAACGCGTCTCTCCTAACTGTACACCGCGGACTTAACGTCCGGGACCGATAAAGAACCGTGCGCATCGGGACACGATGCTATCGTACACAGGTATCCAGTGGGAAATCATTTAATCCGAGCTGCTTTTTTGCCTCTGTTCGCAGGTTGAAACTTGAGTGCGAGAAACTGGCCACGGAGAAGATCGAGATTCAACGACATTACGTGATGGTAAGGAATCACCATTCCGTAACACTAATTCCGGTTAAGTCCGTGCCCTCCCTTTCTCTATTCGTCGCACAGTCTCTCGGTCTCTCTCTCTCTCTCTCTCTCTCTCTCTCTCTCTCTCTCTCTCTTTCTCTTTCTCTTTCTCCTTGCCTATGTCTCCGTCCGCTTGGTTCGTTCGCCGTCTTCCTCCGGCTGCCGCCCCGGTCCCTCGTTTTCCCTATCCAGGATAATCATGCTCGCTCGACCGCTAAACCAGCTTGGCTTCTTAGCATTAATTGCATCCTCGCCGCACCGACTTTACATTGGCCTGTTACCCCGCGCTCGCGCGGCCGCCCGTGCACCTGTATTCGTCCTTCACGTACACGGGCGACCGCAGCCGATGCACGTGTATCCGTATATTTATCTTGCGCACCTACTGTGCATAGCTAATGGCTCTAAGAGCACAGCGGTTCTCATCGACTCGATTGTTGCACAGCGCGCGGAGCAACGGCTCGGGAAACGATAATCTGAGGCCGAAATTCATTTCATTCAACTTTCGCGTTTCAACAACATTTTCTTCTCTCATCTGTCGACAACGACTTGGAGCTTCGAAATCGAGGATATTAATACTAGATTTCCGGAGCACGAAAAACAGATGTTTCATATTGGTTTATAAAAGTAACAACAAGTACGTTTATTTAGATTTTTAACAAGTTTTGCTGTAACATTTGCCGTAAGTAAAATATAAATTGAATAAATAACTCATAAATGTATCTTTGCGGTATGAATGATCGTGAATTAAAAAATTAGTGACCCGCCATTTTGACGGGTTCCTTAAATCTAGTGTTGACTCGTATAACTCTGTGATCGGATACAGCGATGTAAAGGCTCAAAAATATGAAATCGAGCTTGAAACTAATTCTTTCAATTTCTCGTTAGAAGATGTCAAAATGCAAGGCCTTGCTGCACTTTTATGCATTGAAGCACATCTGTATACTTCAACTCTTTGTGCGTGTTAAAAGCGTCTTTTAGTCCGCGCAGAAAGAACGTTGATTTCATGAAACGTTCGATGTGGGACATTTTTAACGCGAAATCTTAGACTCTCGTTAAGGACGCGTAAATTTTAGAGTGCAGTTTCTTGTGGTCTTTAATTACATGCGGATTTTTCGAAGCAAACATTGGACGTTACCTTTCGTCTCGTATCCGATTTAAAAACGATTTTTCAGCCATTTCCGAAACGGATGTTCTTCGCTTTCCTACGAATTAGAACATCGAAATTTCCAGAAAAAAATTGTCGTTCGCAAGAAATGCCGGACACCTCGATTTTCGAAACGTTCACCCTTTGCACTCGAAGCCATTTTGCCTATAAATCTAAATTCATTCTTCTGACTTATGGTGTTTCTATCTTATACGACAAAGTGCATTTAATGCGTATAAAATTTAGTCTTGCGATTCGCACAACAATTAGACTTTTAATCATTTTTTTATACCTAAGCTTTAATAATATAAAAATTATCTTGTAACGTGATGTAACAATCTTTTAGTGGTGCCTCGCGATCACCACTCGAGTGCAAAGGGTTAACACGTATCGTTTTACTTGACAATATCCTAACCGGCGTCGGAACGAATTCAACCTTAAACTTCGTAGCGACGTTCAAATAATTTCGCTGGCTGAAAGCGAATTCCCAGACCGCCGTGCATCGTTGCTGCGTTCCTCACCCACACAGGGTTGCACGGCCGTAACCCGAACCAGATTTGCTTCTTGCTTTGCCGCAATCTGGCCGAAAGAATCGACCGGTTGCGCGCTCGCTTTCCCGGCCGCGGAGAGTTGTTGACCACCTCTCCCGGCCGCTTCGGAAATACGAGCGGGTGTGCTTCGACCTGTGTAATTTCACACTATTTATGTCGACACCGCGGCAACCGAAGATTAATGTTCCTCTTGGCGCGGCGCGGCGCAACGCTGTCCGAGCCCTGCCCGCGGGCAAATCGGGTTTGCCCACGGTGTTCGAGCCCTCGGCTCCGTCGCCGCTAACGAAGGACACCGGTAACAACAAAAGAGAATTCCCGCGGTCGGCACGGACGTCGGTGGACGGCTTCGAGCTCGTCGTCCGAGTCTCCTTGACGACGAGAACAGAGAGAGAGAGAGAGAGTAGGGACAATTTCGATTCACCGGCGAGTCGAGCTTAGCTAGCAGGGTGCTACACCACGGACGGTTGTCTAGGAAACGGGGACGCCATCGCGTGGCACGCAGCGGACGCAAGAATCGCTGAGGTTTCTGTCTTTTACGACTGTCGTTGGCCTTTGTTAAGTCTGGGAAACGATCCCCGAGTTATTGGCCGGTGTATGAACCGGCAGAGGATCGCCCAGCTGTGTCATTGAAACCGGCATCTAACGAGCTGGAGATTCTATTCTCATCGAGGAAGTCGTTCCGAGCATAATCGCTCTGGAATTAAGGACAGGAAAGGCACAGGTGGCTGGTGAAAGGGTCTCGCATTTGGTTGAACCGATGACACCCATTTCACGTGTGTTAGAAATACGCGTGATTGATATATATCCGTGTTTTAATCTGCGTACTTCTTTGTACTCGCACGGCTACACGGATTGTACATTGATATAGAGGGTATTCCATAATTATGTTAATACTCGGAAAGGGGCGATTCCTGAGGTGATTTAAAGTAACTTTTTCCTTAGCGAAAATGCAATCCGTTGCTTCGTTTACGAGTTATCGACGAAAAACACTGACCAATGAGAGATCGCGTACGACTGACGCCCCGCCCTCGCGACTACTGTCGCTACGTCAGACGGCCGCACTCGCTCTATGATTGGTCAGTGTTTTTCGTTAGTAACTCGTAAACGAAGCCGTGGATTGCATTTTCGCCAAGAGAAAAGTTACTTCGAATGATCTTAGGAACATAACTATGGTACACTCTGTATACAAGTAGTTACCATATTATGAATATCTACAGTTACTAACAAAATTGAGTGTACACTTAAGTTGACGATGATGATTGGCGGGAAGCACTGTATTTATAATTACATAATTTTTCGTACAATAATATCGGTTTCCGATCTTTTGGAAGACACGTGCTAACTGTTACTAATAAACAGTGACAAATGAAGATCGAGCGTAACGTAGCAATGTAACAACGTGATCTAGAGAGACGGCTGAATAAATTCTAAATCGAAAAAATACATAACAAGTATCACAAAACTCGGTTTTATTAATACCGTACGCTCAAGTTTGCGACGACGAAATAAAAGTACTTTTACGTCCAGCGTGAAATACAGACAAATAGTTCATCTTTAAAAAAGTTTTTCAAAGAATCAACCGTTGAAATATCCAAAGAAAGTATATATTGCGTTTTTACTTTTGAAAATGTCCGTTTTCGTTGATATTTCCGCAAATCATCATTGCCGACTTAGGCGTACGCTCAATTTTTCGGGTAACCGTATGTTTTTTATGGTTGCTCGTGCTTAACAAAATATTCGAATATCAGATTTTTACGCGACTCATTTGCGATACACCAAAGATCAACTGATAGGTCGCAGAAGTGAACAAACGTGCATTCTATACGATTCTGTTCAAAGAAGAGAATGTTTTCCAAGACATCGAGCTGATGCTTAGAAATAAGATTTTCCCGTGTGCAAAGAAGTGGACGGATTATAAAACGCGGATATATTAACCCTAGAAAGATAACCATATGACAACGTACGTAAAAGATAACCATACGCTTCAGAGGCGCATGCTTTTCTAAGGCGTCAATTTTATACTAACAATGGATATTTATTTAAGTTAATCTAGTCATTTTAAAGGTTTGGCATTATTGTAAAAATAAAATGCATTTATATTATATTTTTTTATATTTTAAGTAATTTTAAACTTAAATCACTAGACCTCTATGAAAAATTAACAAAAATCAACAGTCTTCGCAGGCGCCTCTGCGACGTAGGTTATCTTTCTCGGGTTAATAAAAC